TCAGAATAATGGTTGTTGCTTCATTTTGATTTCCAAAGCTCACTTAAATTTCTCTTTTGACCAACTAATGCATAACCACTCAGCGAAGGGGATTCCAGGAAATACAGTTTCAGCATACTAAGGTGTTCACAGTACAAAACACTCACAGCTCACATTCCGGCCCTGGTTCACTCTTTGCTGCACTTTTTTTTCTCTGCACATCACTTAATTGGAAGCTTGATTTCAGCTGTAGTTTATGGCATTACCTAGACTGGGACCGTACCTCTTCCCATAGGGCATGGGGAGCTTCAGACTTGGTGTTAGAGACCTGGAATGGATTTCAGTGGTATTGAAATAGATAATATTAATTCTGCTCTTCCCTATGTTTCCTATACTTCTATAACTATAAAAGAGTCATGACTGTTCCTATCCATATGTAGAGATTTCTTCTAATCAAGGTAGAATTTATCTAACTTCTATGAAATGAGAAATTTTCATATTATTCTAGCTGTCCCGTTTAACAGGGACCAGAAACATCCAGACCTAATTAGGGGGTGTTCACTTTTAACCTAATTATCTTAGCAATTTTAATTATGAAACCTTTCCTCAAGTCTTTTAAAGCTTGTATTTTGCTACATACATTTTATATCGAGTCTCAAAATTCCAAAAATAGATTTTTTTGAAAAGGTGCAAAATGACTAAGATTATGTATTGAAATGGGTGTAATTTCTAAAAATAACATTAAAATAATTTTAAAATTGTGTGAAAGATCACTCCTGAAAATTTAGAAATAAGGCATAATACAAAGAAAATTAAAACAATAATCCTATTTAATTCTAATTCTAAACATTTTGGTATATTTCCTTCCAATTTTTGTCTTGTACATTTGCTTTTCTTGACCCTTTTTCACTTAGCATCATATTTGGAAACTTTTATCATATACCGTTAAATATTAAATGTGTTTTCCAGTAACTGTAGTTTTGTCATACATATGATAACATGAACCAAATCATCTGAGTATCAAATTATTGTATATTTTTGATAGAAATAATTGCAACGAACAGCCTTTTTTCCTTGAGATATTCTTGAGTAACCAAATATTCATTATGCTTATGGTAGAAAATTTGAAAAATATAGAAAAATGTCACCCAAAGAAGGTGACCCCAAATCATTGTTTATAATTTGAAGTATATATGGCCATTGTTTTTTTCTTTGTACATGTCTATTTTTTTAACAGATTTTACTCATATAAAAATTTCACTGGATTTCTGCTTTTTTATGTGAGCATAAACTTCTAAAGTAGAGTTATTCTATGTAAGAACATTTAGATGACTCTTCAGACGCATTGCCAAATCGCTTTCCATTTACGCTTCCACCTGTAAATGCTTTTACTTTTAAAGGTTACTTGTTACTGGTTATGTGGCCACTACAGTTGTATTTGTTGACATGAAATATAATTTCTTGTATTCTGGATTATATCTGTATATACCCTGACCTATTCTTTAGCCGTCAGCAAACTTGGCTCATGTATTTCATCAACATTATACAAAACGAAACTAGACATTTGTAGATCTGGTTTCTTTTGTGATTTTTATATATAATTTTCTTTCACCAGAATTTTTCTTTAGTACCGATAAGGTAAAAAATGAAAAATAAAGTTTTCAAAGTCATATAGCTAAGTACATTTTAAACCTATCACTCTTTTTTTAAAAAATTATTTAAAATACTGATTCAAATAGGTAGGAAATAGTATATGATACAAAAATCCAAAGAGTTCAGAGGGTCTGTACAGTAAAAAGTCTTCAGATGTCCAAGGAAGTCCAATTTTCTTCCTGGAAGCAACAATGGCTTTGGTGTCCTTCTAAAGATATATTCCACATGTAAATATGTGTATGCCCAGTACACAGTCGGTGGGTAGCATAGTAAACATAGCAATCTGGGCTGTAGCCTGGTTCCAAACTGCTGCTCAGCCCTCAGAAGGCCAAAATTCAAGAGACAAGTGTTGGTGAAAAGGAAAGGTTGCTTTATTCAGGAAGCTGGCAACCTGGGAAAATGGTGGACTACTGTCCCAAGACCATCTCCAAAGTGCCATTCTGAGGGAAGTGAGAATGTTTTAGAGGGAGACTTGGAGGAGACAGGAGGGGACTCTGTCCAGAATCAACAACTTATCAATGCCCGGTAGGCAGAACTGGCACTTGGGATGAGAGACTGTGTGCTCCGAAACTGCGTGGAGAACGGAATGTCCTTACCTGTGGTATCCAGCGGGGCGCTCCAGGAGAAATTTCCTGGAACTCTGAAAGGTTTGGTTAGAAGGCAACACAGAGGGAGAGACTGATGTTTTCAGCTTGTTTCAAAATGGAGTGAGTTAGGCTTTGTTAGAGCCTCTAACAAAAACAGATGGTCTGCATGAAGGGGACTTAGTTTTTTCCCCCAGAAGTTAATTTTATTTTTAGACACCCCCTTAGCATAAGTGCTGCCATTTCAAGGATCCTACCTCAGCCAATCGGAGCTTCGGCTCTCTCCTCACCAGTCAGCAAGAAGCCCACCAACCACCCTTAGACCCTGCCAATCAACTAGAGCCACGACCTCTCACCCCACCAACTACCCCTAGACCCAGCCAATCGGCCAAGCCCACACCTCTCACCCCACCAACTGCCCCTAGATCCCCAATAAAGCCTTTGTACTTTTGAAACTCGCTCTCTTTCTCTGCCATCTTGCCACTGCGTTGGTGCAGATGAGAGATTGAGCTCGAGCTAGCTCGAATAAAGGCTCTTTGCTTTTGCATCAGTGTTGGCTCCTTGGTGGTCTTCTGGGATTCACAACTTTGGGCACAACACTGCACTTGAGATTGTTCCATGGCAGTGCATGGAGAGGTAGCTGCCTCATTCTTTTTTAAGGTCCCGGAGCATGCAATTTTGTATGAGTAACTATAATTTATTTAACCAGTCTACCACTGATGACATTTAGATTGTTTCCAGTCTCTTGCCATTACAGATGACACTACACTAACTCTCCTCGTGTTTATTTCATTTTGCCCATATGTAAATTTATCTGCCTGGTAAATTACTGGAACAAGAATTACGGTGTCAGTGTGTATGTTTTAAAAAATGTGTTGTCAGATTGTTTTTCCTAAGCTGTGTAGTCGTCTGTGTTCCACCGTGTCTGTTTCCTGACATTCTAGACATCACAGGGTATCAGACTTTTTGATATTTGTCAATTTGATTAAAAAATTCATCTTAGTTATAGTTTTAACTTTTAATTTGAATTAAGAGATGCAGCCTTTTCTGTTTAATAGACTTTCCTATACCCCTTTTAGGTGAATGTAAATTATTTCTATTTTTTTTTTTGTCTATCTTTTTTTTTCTTTTTTTGAGAGGGCATCTCATATTTATTGATCAAATGGTTGTTAACAACAATAAAATTCTGTATGGGGGGGTCAATGCTCAGTGCACAATCATTAATCCATCTCAAGCCTAATTCTCGTCAGTCTCCAATCTTCTGAAGCATAATAAATTATTTCTCTTTTTATCTGATAATGAATTTAATAAAAATTAAACCCAACATTAAATATGCAACATGAATTTACAATGGAGAACTTAAACAATGTATTTAAGTTGTTGCTTAATTCTCAAAGATGTTGCTTAATTCTATCAAATTAGGGACTTTTGAGTTTTATTAGATTTTAGTTAACAAGTGTGCTGTTTAACTTTAATTGGCATTCTCCAGTTAAATATTTCCAAATTAAACTGATGATTTTATATTGCATGCTATTCCCATGTGAGGTTTAAAGCATTGTCCTTAGATAAAGGAACATATTAAGTATGGTGGTGCTTTAGCCTTGATAGTTGTGTAGAGCAGAGTCTTGGAATATTATAATGTAGTTTAAAACATGTTCCATACAGGGTTCTACTAGTGAGTGCGGTGCATTACATGAGCAGTGAGATCTGATGACTAGGTTATGGTGTGTGAGGCTTAAGAAAGCATATAGGCAATGTCTCGCCTGAGGGATTTATCCCCAGGCAAGTTTACTCTGGAATTGGTGAGACCGAATAACAACAACTGAACATGGAGGGTAAAGAGGAGCTCCTCTGGAGCTTTATTCTCGCAGAGGCAGGCAGGTCTAGTGCTGTCAGCCCTGCCCCAGCCTCTGTCTCCACTTCTGACTCTGCCCTCACCACCAGCCTCTGCTCTCCTCCCTCCTGCTCTCTGTCTGGCTCTGCTGCACAGGGGGAACTCTTCTTATCTCAACACAGGCATTAAGGGCTTATCACCAGGGGGTATAAAAGTATGCAGTAGGCTAAGTATTACATCGTCACATGTACCCAGTGTGTAGATTAGATTAGGATCAATTGAGGATCCTGGCCCTAGAACTTCCATTTTCCTTATAGGCAAGTTCTTTACAACTCTCTGATTTGTAAATCTGTTTGTAATCTGGCCTCAAACTACTTTTTCTGCCTAATTTCCCATCACTCATTTCTTCAGCCTTTCTTCTACTCATGTTTAGCATCTTAATACAGCCAAATATTCATTATTTATGTGTTAGCATGTGCTATTCTCAAGGATTCTTCTTCCCCTTTTCCTTGGCATACATCAAGACCAAGCTCAAATACCACGTTTTTTTCAAGTTGTCAGTAATTACTATTAAGTCAGAATTATTTGCCCTCACTGTTCCTCTTTGCTTTCCAAGTATTAACATATTGCTTGGTATACAGTCATAAATTAAAAGATTTCAGAGTATTTCATAGTCCAAGTAATTTTAGGACTGGTTCTATTTTGAGTCAGTTGACCCAGTTCATAAAGAAATAAAAAAAGATTTAAGAAGTGTATGTAGTTTACTTTGTATTTATCTGTCTACAGAGTCTAAACAGCTTTGAAACCTTTGTCAGATGTACTTCGTTACCTATTTGATTAGTTACCAGTAATATTGGGTGAAAGATTTGTATTTGATGTATATATTTTAATGTTGGCTTATGACAAAAACTTAATGAATTTTGTCCTAAAATTATTCTTTGTTTACACAGAGAATGTCCAAGCACATGGATGCTGCAGGAGAAGTACTGTTGGAAAGAAGAGGCTGTGCAGGAGTGATAACACTAAACAGACCAAAGTTCCTAAATGCACTGACTCTAAATATGATTCGGCAGATATATCCACAGTTAAAGGTTGGTAATTTTCTCAAAGCAATTATATGGATCCCTATAAAAGTAAGTCAATAGAACACTAGACTCTTTGGGATCAGCAGTAAAGCCCACCAGTTTCTTGAGGTCTTAATGCTTTCGCTCTGTACTATCTTGGAACAACCCTAGTAGCGGCAGGGAGTTAATTGCCTCTTGAAGGCAGCCCCTTCAACTTTTATGTAGTTCTAAGTTTCTTATGTTCTCTGACTTTTTGGGGCATGGGTATATGAATTTAACCTGCTTCCACATGGCAGCTTTTTGGTTTGTAGACAACTGTTCTTGAACCTCTTGGCTAACCATTTCTTAGAGGCCATGAGCTTTTCTATTCTAAGTGAACTCTGTGGTGCAGTAGAAAAGCAAGACTTAAAATCAGACTACTTATCTTTGAAAATTGGATTTCTGTTCATTAACTTGCAGAATGGGAATGTTAATCTCTGTGTGCTGCATTTACCTCTGCTGTGAAATGGGCATGTTGG